CGACTCGGTGTAGGCAGCCGACAGCCGGCAGATGCACACACTCACATTGACGTGGCTGAGATGGATATGTATGTATGTGTGTATCTGTCCATCCATCCAGTGAGATTGAGTTTTGGCTGGAGTCATGCAACAAGCAGACACCCGTCGTGACACAAGCCGTCGCGAGCTTCGAGGTCACCAAAGCATGACGCACAAGACGTGCATGTCTGTCTGTCTGTCTGTGTGTGTCCGATTGCAGGCCGATCACCCGTGTCAGATGTCGTGCTGCGCTGGTGATGAGCTCGTCATCCACATGCGCACCACAACGCAGTGGACATACGCAACTCACGCCACCTCTCGTCTATCTGGGTGAGGCCAGCACACACACACACATATATATATGTCGATGTGCAATGGTTGTGCAGGTGGGTGCCGAGCACACACACAGGCTACGGGATGTGGTTCGAGTGTGAGATACAGAATGTCGTCTGCCAGAACGTCGTCACCATCCTCAACCCGCCGTCTCGTGTGAGTGGCCAAGCCCGACAGACAACCAACACTGTGTACTTGTGGATGCCCCTGTGTGTGTGTGGTCTCAGCGTGTGTGCTTTCCGGCGTTGCAGTGCTCCGTTGGCGACAAGGTGGTGATCCTGCAACATGGGGCCGTCAGGACGCACACTCAGGGCGCGTCAGTGCTCGTCAGGGCATACGGACAACCGCACAGAGAGGGGTAAGGGCACACACACACACACACACACACACACGTCGCCGCATTGTATGTCCGGCAACCACACTTCAGCTACGTCAATTGCGCTGATATCGGTCTGCCTATCCCCCACAACAAGACACGACAGGTGAGGACAGAGTCTTGCTGCACGATTGCCTCTGTGTGTGTGGGTGTCACTCTGTCTCCTGCACTGTGTGTGTATCTGTGTGTGTGTTAGGTGTCGAAGAAGCTGGGGCATCCGGTGCTCATGAAGGAGTGATCGGTGTCAATCGGACAGACAGAGACAAGCAGACCCTCAGACAGACAAACAGCGAGGAACAGACACTCAGACAGAGACAGCAGACAGACAGACCGACAAAGAGAGGGTGGAGGGATCGATGTGTGTGACGGTGAGCTGCGTGAACTGCGAGAAGTTACTGCATAGGGTGCACACACAACCACACACACAATGTGGTATGGTGGGTGTTATGGACACCAACACCGACCGACACACACACACACACACACACACACAGAGAGAGAGAGAGAGAGGCACATGCACAGTGCACGCCCCTCCCTCCCTCCCTCCCTCC